TCCCAGACCCGGTGGCTTAAAACTCGCTCCGGGTGCATGTGCGTGCATACCCAAGATCCCGAGAGGAGAATGGAGGAGAAGGGATTGCGGTGTGGCCATCCCCCTGGGGGGTGATTTCTCATTTTCTGTCTCTCTGTCTCTCTCTGCTGTCTGACAAGCACACGCGCCCTACAGCATAAAACAAAAAAAAAACAACAACACCCTGTCAGGATGGCTTGCTCTCTCTCCCCCTCCCTCTCTCTTTCTGAGTCATACGAAAAGTAACTAAAACTTTTTTGAAAAAAAGAGTGAATAGGGACCAGCAGGTGGTTGTGACGGTTAAGGCACTGGGCTTCCACACAGCCAACTGCAGTTCAAGTCCCGGGACTGGTAACTTGCTTCCTCTCTCTCTCTCTCTCTCTCTCTGGTGAGCTCATGCAGCCTGTAGCAAATTTAAAAAATGGTAATAAAATAAAATTAAATAATTATTTATTAGAAAAAAGTGAATATGCAAACAATGAGAAGTGGAGACAATCCATGTATAGGCAGTTTTTGTTTCTAGGAACTATAAATAGAACACTACACCTTTTAGTATATTTCACACTAAACATATAGAATTATAAGGAAAAAGAGCTGAAAGCAAGTTCAAAAAAAAACTTCTTTATAAATGCATTTGCTGGTTGGGTGACTTTTGACAAGTAACTTCCTCTTCCTGAACTATTAACTTTATTAATAGTATGAGACTAATAATTTCTTTATAAGATTGCAGAAAATGAATGAAGAGAGTATTGTACTGGGTTCTCAATAACTAGTTGATGTTATTATATTTGATACCATTTTGTGAATGCAGAAATTTTAAATTATTTTTGTTTTAGGAACTTAAAAAAAATCCAGTCTATTCTAATGTTTTATATTCTATGGAAGATATAACCAAAAAACAGCATACTGGGACAAGGCAGATTTTCTATGATTATAAAAGAAAGGCTAATCTAAAATACAAGCACAGTATAGACAAAACAAAAGTAGTAGGTGGATGGGTAGTTTTAATCATTATTGAAAAAGAGTGTGACCTATGGAAACGTAAGAAAGAGTTCAAACTAACCTTTACAAAACACTTCTGGAGATTTTACAGAAAACTTTTAGAATATGTTTGTTAAACGAATATGTTAAACTGACATATATATTACCAAATGTTAAAGAATATAAGGACACTTTGTGGCATACACCATTCATCAGCATTTCAGCTGAATTGTTCAACATACCCTGCCCCTTTTCCCAGCTTTATTTTTCTCCTAAGCACTAATTATCAACTCAAATCCTATGGCGCTTATTGGTTTCTTACATCTCTTCTGACTAGAATGTAAGCTCTATGAAGGCAGGTAATTCCATCTGTTTCACTCACTGTAGAATCACCAGTGCCCAGGGCCACACACGAATGGTGCTCAATGCGTATTTATGGGTTAAATAAATAAAAGCAGAATTGAAGCCCAGAGAGATTAAATGCTTTATATTTAGTTAGTAAATGGCTGACCCACTTAAATTATCCCAGCACTTCCAAACTCTCTCTCAGGGCTCTTCTCAACTCTCTAATCTGCCTCACTCTCTTTGAAACTTTCATCTGCCATTTCTACTAGCAGCCATGAGAATAATTGAGCAGTATCTCTAAACTGTGTTAAAATTAATATGAATTCTTTGAAGGTTTCTAGCATATTTATTTCAGCTGCTTCTAGAACTCCCATTAGAAAGAGAAAAATCTTTTTTTTTTTTTCAAAATTCCAAAACCCTGGACACGGTATATGAAAAAAATGAACAACTAAACAACCTAACACTATTAGCCTGAATCTGACTTGTAAAACACTTTAAAGATAAACCACAAGAAGCCCAGCTTCAAATCAGCTAAATTCTTAGTGGTATGATTATGTCTTTAAAAGCAAGGACTGAGTTGAATCAATTCCCTATTGAAGGAAATTAGAGGTGAGCAAATAAAAGTCAAAATTTAGGGTCACACCTAAATAGTAGAAATATAAGAGGGAGCCACAGATACGCAACATAAGGATAATCACTCTTGAGAGTTGTTTTCTGTTTTTTTTTTTTTTTTTTGAGGAAATATATTTTTAAACCTGTAACTTTTTACTAAACAACTACTAATTGAATGTGAGGTAAGAAGAGAGATATTTTCAGATATGTAAAGTTTCAAAATATTTAATCACTTCATACCCAGACAAGGATGGCATCTAGAGACTTCTGAAAAAATAAGAGTAACCCAAGAATGAGGAAAAAGAAAACACAGGAAACAGTGGGTCTAATTCAAGACAACAGCAAAGGAATGTACTAGACTGACAGTATTTAGCAAACCTAGATAGCAAGGAGCTCAGACCCAGGCAGAAGAGTGAATTCCACATCTATTTCATACAATATGTAATATGATCAAGTTTGAAATAAAATAAAATCATAATAAAAACAAAGGCACAAGAATAATGGAAAGGCAATTACAAATGCAAAGGAGGCGGTGGGGGGTGGTGTGTAGAGATCTGTAAGAATAGAATCATAGTAGACTGACTCCATGTAGATACTATTTACATATTAACTATATTATAGAATTTTAAAATTCTCTAAGAGACAAAAATATTTAATTATGGTTGTAACAGATTAGGGTATAAATGCTATAATTATTATTATTTTTTTCCTGTAGGGAGTGTATACTTGCCAGAGACAGACAGGGAAAATGAGAAAGCGGCCTTCCAGGGGAATGTCCGTGACATAACCCCTTCTCCTCCTCTCTCTTCTTGGGATGGTGGGCACACATGCATACATGCCTGGTATGTTATTGAAGCTGCTGGGTCTGGGACTCAAACCACACAGTAAGATCACAGCCACCTTAACCACCATGCCACCTGGCTAGCCTACTATTAAAGTATGAAGTTTAGATTTTGTGAGGGGAAAATGTAAAAGAGAGCTAAAAATAGACTACGGATGTTCATATTGGCATTTTACAGACTGGGGAGTAAAAAGAGCCTGTAGTTGGTGAAAGAAGAAATAAAAGTGTAATACTATTACTAAGTTTAAAGATAATTATGGAGAGCCAGAAGGTGGCATAGTGGTAACATGATACTGTGTGACATCGGATCCACATAGCGAGGTTCCTGGAAGATGTCCTGAGGTCTTCCTGTAATCACAGGATGTGCATGCCTCCTAGGACTGGGACTGGACATGGACTGTGGCATGGGGACACTGTTGGGGATGTCTCTTTCTGCCTCTTTCATGAAAGAAAGAAATAAAGCTTAAAAGATAACTATGATGAATCTAAACATGAATGTAACTATTTGGAAGGTAAACAGGAATGATGTCTAAAATAGACAAATTAAGAAAACTAAGATGGGTTAAGAATGGTTGTACATGGAGATCAGGATTTGGGGTGAGGGGAAGTAGGACAGAAGATAGCTTTTTATTATAAGCCTTTTTTAGTATTTGATTTTCTTAAAATATTACTTTAATAGAAATAAATTCAGAGAGAATGTTTGTGGCTCAGTAGTCCTAAATTCTGTCGCACAGAAATTCCCCTCCTCCATTACAAAAGTCCAAATTCTTGTTGTCCTATAACTACAATGCACTTTTTTCTTATTTTTTTTAATGCCAGAGGAAGTGTTTGCATGCATGAGAGAGTAAGAAATCACTCCTCAATAAGGACTAATTATGCCACAATCCTTTTTCCTCCAGTTCTTCAACCCATCAGGACTTGAGCATGTGTGCCTGTGCCTAGCGAGTTTTTCTTTTTATTTTGGTTTTTGCCATAGGGCTCATGTGCTTGCTGAAAAAAGACAGAGGCAGAGAGAGGGAAAGTGAAAAATCACCTCCCAGGGGGTTTGGCCATGCTTCAATCCCTTCTCCTCCATTCTCCTCCTGGGATTTTAGGCGCCCATGCGCAACATGTCCAGTTATTTTCAAGCCTCCAGGTCCAGGACTTGAACCACACTTGGCCACATAGAAGTCCAGCACCTTAACCACTATGCCATTTGGTGACTCCCACCTGGTGAGTTTTTCAAGCCTCCGGGGTCATGACTCAAACCCTGATTGGCCAAGTGAGTTTTGGTTTTCTCTGCACACCATTTAACTGCTCCACCACAGGCTGATCATAAATGTACTTTTTAAAGTCACTACTAAAGAGGGAAATTTTACCAATTTCTTGTAATGACAGTCACAGTTTACAAACTCAAATAATTTCTTAAATCTGAAAAGAAATAAAGTAGGGTGAAGATTCAAAGGTATATTTTTGTCATTGAACTCAGAAGGTACAACTTAGCTGCTTATATTTTGTATCAGTGCTGATGACACTTTAAAAAAGAACAAAAAAATTTACAAACTTAATATCCTTTTGTTTTCTTTCAATCTCAAGATTTTTAGCAGCTGGGGTTTCACATTATTAGGCAAAAATATTTTAACATAAGCATCTGGGACTCATTCATGTCAATTGTTGCTCTTTAAGAAGTATGCTTAATTTAAATATTAACCTTCTTTTAAAAGCTATTTCAGAAGAAATGAATGTCCCCTTCTTCCTATTCCCTACCAACACTCCATTTCAAAGTTTCAGCCTGCTTAGGAAATTGAAAATAAGTCCCCTTCCTACACCCTAAAGTCTCCTCATTCCATATGCCAAAGCTTTAGGACAGTCCCCAGGGTAAAAAACATTTCTGGGATCCTCAAACTACTTCCAGATGTGAGCCCCCCAAGGTAAATAAGCAGATTCAGGCTTCCAACCCCTTTCCAGATGACAGACCCCAGAAAGATGAGTGTGGCAGAGACCTAATCCCCTGATTACAGATGTGGGCCAAAGAGCACATGAATAAATTGAAACATCTTCTCTCCCTACCAGATGTAATTCCCTAAGTGAAAAAGCCTTCTGATAGCTTGCCAACAATGGTTCATTCCTCATTAAACCTCCAAAGATCGAAGTATTATTGTTCTCTCACCTCTTTCTCTTCCTATTTTCATTTCTCAATCCTAAAAGATATGCTATGCCTCACCTGGGTCAAGGTACGTATCTCTGGACACACTTCAGGAATTAGGTTATTCTGAAGGTCTAGAGTCTTCAGGGCCGGTAGTTTTTCTAATGTTGAGGGCATCTTTTTTATTTTCTTCCCTGTAAAAGTCATGATCTTTGTATTTTCACCACCCTGCAATGCTTTTATTAATAATCTTTCAACCATGATCTTGGAAAAGTAGAATATGAAGAAGGCAATGATAGGTATTAGAGCTCTTTATTATACATCTTTAGAATCTCTACATGCAGAATCAGTATGTCATAGAAGAAAAACATTCCATTCTGAGATCCACCATGTTGAAGGGGGAGCCATTAGATAGTTTCCTATGTAGAATTTAAAAAGGGAAATAGCTAGCCCAGGTTTGGACAGAAAGCATACAAGGTCAGCTTAGGATATCTCATATCAGAGATAGGCACTTTGTTAAAAACTAATGAAGTCATCATGGTATAGGTAGCAGGGTGCCACTATGTGAAACTGGAACCAAATGAGGCCCAGATTCAGATGGTGGGTCAAACTGTACCCCACGGACATCTATGATTCTGGATGCCCAGTAGGCTGAGGGAGAACTACAGTATGGCAAGACTCTGTTAAGGGTACTTCTCGCTCACTCTCAAAATAAACAAACTAAAATGAAACAATAAAACTACAAAAAAAAACTAATGTGACCACATCAAAAGGAGACAGAAACAACTTCTAGGAGCTCTTGCTAGTCTAAGAAGGGAAGTTTTAAATACCAGAAAAAGTAATCTAAAATGGACTAAAACCCATCAGAACATTAAAATCTAGGAGTTCATAATGGCATTAAAAAAAAAGAATAAAAAGAAACTCATTCATGATACTGGGAGTTGGTAGGATACCAACTCAGTTTGCAAACTGAGAAAAGGGGCAAAATTGAAGCAATATTCTAGCAGGCTGCGGGCTATAGCAGTAGTCCCTGGTTGTACCTGGCCCTGGGACAATGAAGTAGAGAAACATTGCCTTGATAGTCAGATAGGGGAGGTATGGCTCAGGTTTGGTTAGTCTGAGTTTCAAAGGGCTATGCCAGTTACATCTTTTGCTATCTCTAAGAATTGGTTTGCCCCAAGAAGAATAATCTTTCCCCAGCCAGAAAGGTTCTCTAAGTTCAAAACATCATTAATACACAGGGAAAAAATAATTTGATACAAATACAGGAAGGTAGTAATCAGATTTGCATTTCCGACATTCACATTAGTAGCATGACTGTTGAGTTTAAGGAAGTCTGGAGGCAGAGTCAGCCATTATGAGGCTTCTATACTATACTAGGTGAGAAAAAAGGGGATCAAAATTAATGATAGGAAAAAAAAAATGATATGTAATAACAAGGCTAAGACTATAACTGCAACCTGGTTCTTCAGATGTCAATTAGATGGCATAATCTACAATTTAGGATGTGGAGAGTTGGGTAATATTTAGCAGAATAAAGCTGTGACCCAGATCCAGATTTATTAAGACATTTGAAACCAAGGAAGAGAGATGTAAAAATAGATGGAATTTCTATTTCAAACTTTTGAGTTTTGACTTGTATCTTAAACACACTCCCTTATGGATGGTCAGCAGAAAATAAAAGCATTGTTGATCTCACTGCTATGTAGGTTAGCCTCATGAAACAGCAGCATCCAGAGCTTTACCAGAAACCAGAAATCAATCCATTTGGCAGGAAAACAGAAAAATAACCAGCTTTTCGAGACAGTCTGAACTCAGCAAAGGAGTATGGGCATAAAGTTGGATGTTAACTCAGGCAGAGTTATTGACTTATTATGTAAACATAGGCAAGTCAGTCAAACTGGCAGTATCTCTCTTCTCATCATTAAAACAACAAGAAAGAATACCAATCTATTCCACTGAGATCAAATGGGAAATAGCTGATGATTATAAACTACTTTGCAAGTGTAACTAGTCTGAGAATGTTAAAATATATGGCATCCTAGAACCTCAAAGACCTTAAAGTTAAAACAATTATTAATTTTATTCATACAGAAAAAGCTTTAGTTACACTCAATATACAAGAGAACCTAGCTAATTCTTACTATGATAGAGGTCTCTGTGACAAAGCAAAGGATTTTGAAAGCTAGAAAAATACACGAAAAACAGAAGTTCATAATCACAGGTTATGACAGAAACCAATGCATTTATTTGATTTGTTTTGGCAAGCTTATTTTGTAATTAAAATGTGGTCTGAAACTTGGGGTAGAGGGTTTCAAACATGAGCAGATGCTCCATGTACTTGAAAACTGTTAAAGAAATTCTCTGTCCTGTAATAAAGAAAGGTATTGGGTTTCTTTTGGTTCATTTTCTTTTTAAATATGCAAATAGGTTTGGTTTAAAGCGCTAAGGATTCTCTAAGGCCTACTTGCTAGGGTTGGCCTCAGTATTATACTACCCATGTGGCTTGAGCAAGCTATTCATTCTCAACTTCAAGTCTCGTTTTCATTATCTATAAAATATGGATGAAAATACCAAATTCTCTTTTCTGTGAGGAAAAAATAAGCATTTGACACAACTGCTTGGTACAGTGACTTACTGTAAAACTGACTGTTTCTGCAAGTCATCCTTATTGTACTGAAATAAAATAATTATAAACTTATTTATGGTCAGTGTATTAATAAAGCTTTTAATATTTTCTGATCTCTCCACTTATTCCAGAGGGTCCATATATTTTGTAGGTTTGTTAAAATCAGACATTGCCCTGACTGACACATGATGGCAAATTAACAGTAACATTCTCTCAGAAGGGGCCAGAGGGTGGCGCATCAGTAAAACATGATGTTTGGCAATGCTGACCCACAAGAGAAGGTTCCTGGTTTATATCCACAAAACCCCCAAGTACACCAAGCTGTGCCCATGATCTGAGGCTGGCTGACAGTGGATCTAAGCAGGCTGCTGTCTCTTGCTAGTGGAAAAAAATAAACTAAAAACAAAAATTAAAACACACAAACGTAAGCACACATATGCAAATTCAAAAGGAGAAAGAGAACTCTCTTGGATTTTCTCCCTTCTTTAACTGATGACCAAAAAAAAATAAATAAATAAAGGAATTCATCCAACAGCAAGGTAATTATAAAGCAGGCTTTTTGTGGGCAAGTACAATCTAAATTAGCCTCATTTCTCTGTTCCCAGTGTCTATTGTTCTAAAGGCAACTCCTCAGTTATATCTTATCTTCTCAACTAATATCCTGAGACTGTCAATAAGCACTTTTTAAAAAAAAAAAAAAAAAGAGATTTTTGCTTGCCAGAGAGATACAGAGACAGAGAAACAGAAAGTAAGAAATCATCATCCCAGGGTGATGATCACACCACAATCACTTCTCCTCCATTCTCCTCTGGGGATTTTGGGCATGTACATGCACACGCATACACACACACACACCCAGTGTGAGTTTTAAGGCCCCAGGTCCAGGACTAGAATCACAATTGACTACATGGGAGTCCAGCAATATAACCATTATACCACCTGCTATTCCTGTCAAACAATACTTACAAAGCATATTATGAATGTGCTAGATATTTCAACAACAGACATCAAGAAGTTGTTTCTGGAACCAGCAGTTAGCGTAATGGCTATGTCGTTGGACTCCCACGTAGTCGACGGAGGTTCGCGTCCTGGACCGGGTGACTTAAAACTCACGCCGGGCGCGTATGCGTGCGTGCCCAAGATCCTGAGAGGAGAATGGAGGAGAAGGGAGTGCGGCGTGAACATCCCCCCTGGGGGGTGATTTCTCACTTTCTGTCTCTATGTCTCTCTCTGTCTGGTGAGTGCACGCACCCTATAGTGAAAACCTCTCCAAAAAAAAGAAAAAAGAAAAAAAGAAGTCGTTTCTGAGACTTAAAAGACTAAGAAAAACAAATAAACGAAAAAAATACAAGTAACTAATTACCAGAGTATGGGTACTAGAAAGAAATGTACATTAACTGGCTTACCTAACCTAACTCAGATGGGAGGAATCTGGAGATGCTTGCTTACCAAGGTAGGTACTATTTAAGCAAAGACGTAAAAGAAATAAGCGAGGGAAAGCAAACTGAGCTAAGCATTCAGTTCTCAAGTAGGAGAGAACAATGGTGTGTTAAAGGAAAATTAAATCTACGTTAAAAAAATAATTAGAAGGGCCTGATGGTGGTGCTGCAGTAAAATGTGATGCTCTCCAAAGTAAACTCACATGGGTAGGCTGCTATTTCATATATGTAGATCTTCCTGAATATGCCAGCCATGTGTAAGCCCATGATCCTGGCTGGCTGAAGCTCAGGGTGGATCACAGTGCTTGGACTTTATCAGGGATACTCTACCTCTCTCCCTCTCCTCTCTGTCTCTCAAACTTATGAACTAAAAAAAAAAAAAAAAAAAAAAAAATTGAATAATTAGAAATCCCGAGTTCAATGCGAAGCAAGGTTAGTTTAAACAACACTTAAGATAGAAGAGTGGCCAGCAGATGGCTTAACGGTTAGGTCGCTGGACTCCCACATAGTCAGCCATGGGTTGACTATGAGTCCCAGACTTGGCAGCTTCAAACTCATGCCGTGTGTGTGTGTGTGTGTGCAGGCCCAAAATCCATAAAGGAAAATGGACTGTGACATGGCCATCCCCCCTGTGGGTTGATTTCTTGCTTTCTGTCTCTCTGGTAAGTGCACAGGCCCTAAAGCAACAATCTCTCTCTAAAAAAAAAAAAAGAAGAGAAGAAACTCAATGAATGTGAAAATAAGACAGAGGAATAAAAACTAGTTTCATTTGTTCAATAAAAGTAAAAGAAAAACAATAAGAAATTACTAATTAAGTTTTTTTTTTTTTTTTTTGGAGAGATTTTTGCTATAGGGCGTGTGCGCTCGCAAGACACAGAGAGACATAGAGACAGAAAGCGAGAAATCACCCCCCAGGGGGGATGGTCACGCCGCAATCCCTTCTCCTCCATTCTCCTCTCGGGATCTTGGGCACGCACGCACACGCGCCCAGCGTGAGTTTTAAGCCACCGGGTCCAGGACACAAAACGCGGTCGACTACGTGGGAGTCCAGCGACATAGCCATTACGCTAACTGCTGGTTCCCATTAAGTTTTCAGGAAATCAACAGATTCACTCTTTCAGCTAGTTCATGACAACCTGCACAAAGAAGATACTATATTAGTAATTATGTGCCAACATTAATTTGTACACTTCCTTCTTACTGCTTCACATTCTTGCACACAAATGTTTATTCATTTACAACAAGTCTTATAATATTAATTTATCCTAAATAAACTTTTGTTATTCTCAAAAGTTCTGAGCTTCTACTTGATTTCGAAGTCATTGCTTAAATAGCAATTATTCTATTATCTCCCTCTACTCTGTCAGTGGAGTAATGCTACGTTAATATATTTATTCCTAATCCCTTATATGCAAAGCTCTCTGAACGTATCATGGTTAATTATATGTGAAGATAAAATAAAGGCAGATAAATTTCTAAAGCGAAATGAGTTTACTTCTAAATTCAAAAATTGTTAAAGAATGACAATTGGAACAAACAAATGTTGACTTAATGCATTCATTTTTTATTCTTCTTTTGGCAAACTATATTGCTCATTACATACATTCTTTTCCGCTTTATACAAGTAAGAAACAAATTTAAGTGAATAAAATTCCTGGTTAAAGACATATCCTAGAACTCTGACATATACTTTTCTGAATTAGGACAAAAGAAAGTTTATGGTTAGGCCATCATCATACAACAAATTAGTATATGCGGCTTTTAAATTAACATTTGCCATTAAAGATTTTTTAGGTTATAGTTAAATGATATCCATCTAAAATTATATGAAATAACAGAAGCTGACCATACAAATCTTATTTACAACCTTATTGGTTGTTTCAACAAAAATAACAAAAATTTAAAACATGTAATTTAAAAATCCTGACTCTTGCTAGAAAATAAGCTACCAATAAATTATTTTAGAATACTTCAGATATAAATGGAATTTATAACTAAGTTTCATGATATGTTTTATTCCTTAGTGCTAATATTTTAATTTTAAAATAACAGATTACTTCAAAGTAAGCTCCAAGTATTTATTTTAAAATTTTCATTCTTTTATAAATACCAGGACCCAAAAGTTTAGATCAAGGGTTACAAAACAGCAATCTTCAGAAACTATTTTGTGTGGCAGGCAGAACCCTTTTAATCTGTTGAATTGCAATGTCTTTAGAAAGTACTTACTTGCTAAAGCTGACCACAGTCCCTATTAGCTTCCCACACTGTCACCTGCTGGGCATGAGATGGACACACCATCTATAATATTATAAACCCAATATTTACTTATAAAAATCAGGTGTGTTTACCTAAAATACTAATGAAATAAACTTAATGTTAAACCTTACTTGTATTTCTAACTTGGGAAAAATAAATCAAACCAATATAATCTCATTCATAATACATCCTTACATTATAAAGTACCAGACACAATTGTATATACAGGTTCTATCTTCTTAGAGTTAAGTAAAAGATAAATAAGTTACTCCCTTATGAATAACCAGAAATCTGAACTAGATAAATCATTCACACAGAAATCAATCAGACACTGATTTTATTATGCTGACCTTGGCTCCCAAATAGTGGCTTTCAATTTTATCCACACACACAACATAAAAATCTCGACATCTGAATTGAAGTAAAGGTGACATACACTAATAAGGCTAACAAAATAACAAATAACAAAAGTCTCCTTCTAATCCTAGAGATTGAAACAAAAAGGGCAATGTTGTAAGAAAAATTGGAAAAAAGGAAGAATTTGAAGTAAATGTGACCTTAGATTTTTAGGCCACTCCCTCAACCGGCACAAGGTAAAGAATAAGGCTACAAAATATTTCTTACAGAAAAGGCTACAATGAAAGCAGAACAGATGAGTAGTGATGGCGAAAACAACAGAAAATTTAAAATTTGTAGTGATGAAAATAATGATCATGGCACTAATTCTAGTCTTAAGTTTAAGAAATAGCAAACAACAACAAATGAATTAGGAAGACTATTAGGTCTTCTTAAATTTACAAAGAAGTAAAATTCTTTAGAGGTTTGAATCTGACAGAGAACACGTAATTACCTCTGAATTTATCTCATTTCTTTAAACTTAACTGATTCCAATCCGAATAAATATTCTAAAAAAATTTAACCATTAAAGGAAGCTCCTTAACCTACACTTTGATGAGCTATATAAAAAGCTTAATTGTGTTAATCTCATCAATGCCCACATTACTGCAATCAAGTTTATTTTATAAGCATTAATTAAATTTGCGATCACCAACCACATTATTGTAATCACAAGGAAACTGGATCATTTCACTTCTTCAGCAAAAACTGCATTGAAATGATTACTCTGAACACTTTAAAGAAAGGGAGAACATTTTTTTAATATTTTCAAATTTATTCCAACATAGAGCAGAATGTCCAGAATCCTATATAAATTAAACCACTAGTGAGTAAGGTACCGTCTTGGTCTATGAGTAATGTTCTCCACAATGGACTTACAAGTTTTTAAAATGCCACTAAGAGGACACTAAGTAAAGTCTATCTCTGACATATTTCTTAAAAACCTGTAAGTAGCTTTGCCATAAAACTGACTTAAGGTAGTTGTGTTTTTCAGTAGCATTTAGAACAATCCAGCACTTGGCATGAATACACAGACTGGCACACTTACTATAAGATAACTGTAACACTAGCTGCAATTTTCAGTAGCTGTGTTCACCACCTGTGTAACAGAATTGTAATGTTCTCCTAAGCCATATGCATGTCTCATATATCTGAAATAAAAAAAGAAGAAATTAATAGTTTTGATGAAAGTAGTTTATTATATATAAATGCTTATTATGTACATAAAACCAAGCACTCTGAAGAGTTCAGTCGACAGGTGTCTATTCAAAGGCTACATAGATAGTAATCATGAGTTCATCACCCAGCTGGCTCCTTGACACACCAGTAATGTGCTGTTTAAAAGAAGCCAGATCCCACACGGTGACCTATAGTTTGAATCCCCAGCCTAGCCAGCCGGTAACATACCAGGTGCACGAGCACCCAAGATCCAGTGAGCTAGAAGACTGGGGGATAAGGATCATGGCATGACCAGGTCATGCAGAGGGTGCTCATCTCTCTCTCTTTCTTTCTTTTTTCATTCTTTATGTCTCTCATATGTATATACTCTATTGTGAATAAGAAAATATAAAAGTTAAAAAAAAAAAAAGTTCAACTTCACTTGTCTGCAAGATCTGGGTCAATTAATAGAGAGAAAATGGAAAGGTTAAGAGACTAGATGCTCAATAAGCTAAAATTTTCACCTAAATCCAAGCCATTAATGACTACCTTAGTGGGTTTGGCCAACAAACACTAAAGCCAATAATAAATCCCCCATGTTGCATTTCAGAAGAGATTTTCTGATCATGTAAAATATTTTTACTGTATGAAGAAAAAATCTCTAAGGAATAAATAGGCAATTAAATATATTTCAGCTTTTATATTTGTTGAAACACTTACTATTATTGTCAGCCTAGAACAATATTTTTAAAGAATTATCTATTTTAATTTTAACCATGGGGGAGTGTCCAGCATCTTAACCACCATACCACCTGCTAGTCCCTGAGCTTAGGACAACATTTAAAAGAGCTTTAAAATTTTAGAACCATTCAGGACCAGCAGATGGAATAATGGTGATGATGCTGGACTCCCACAGTCAACCACAGGTTGAGTCCTGGACCTGGCAGCTTAAAACTCATGCTGGGCACATGTGGTGCATGCCCAAAATCTCCAGAAGAGAATGGAGGAGAAGGGATTGCAGCATGGGGGGTGATTTCTAACTTTCTGTCTCTGTCTCTCTGGTGTTGCACGTGCCCTATAGCAAAAAATCTCTCATAAAAAAAGTAAAACCTTTCAAAATATCTTTATTTCTTAAAGGTTTAAAAAAATCACCTAAATCACATATTTTAACAATGCTTCCTAGGTCTATAATCCCAATTAACATAAAATCAGCAAAATTAATTCACCTAAAGATAGCTTTTTCTTTTCTCTTTTTATTGCCAGAGGGCAGGTACACTTGCTAGCATGGGACAAAGAGACAGAGAGAAAAAGCACTCCCTAGTGGGGTGTGTTCATGCTGCATTCCTTTCTCCTCCATTTCTCCATCCTCTCAGGATTTTGAACACACATGCACACAAACTCATCACATTTTTTCAAGCATTAAAGCCTAGGATTCAATCCAAGGTTAGCCATGTGGGATCCAGCTCCCTTAACTACTAGGCTCTAGTGCTAGTCCAAGACAGTTTTTTGATTAATCAACATACACAACCTATAATCTTTATATTCTTTTTGTCTTAATTATAAAAAAACAGCAAAGATTTTGAGGTACTTACATAAGTATTAATGGTTTTTTGGGATATTCTTCACCAACTACAATAGGAGGAGAATCAGCCTGTATTATCTCTATTGGTGTTTGTAAAATGTGAGACAGAGCTCTTAGCTACAAGGAAAAAAAATGTATTAGTATGGAAAACTATATGGCAATTTCTACTTAAATGATAAATTATAGAAGTACTCATAAATGGAGCAACCAGTCAGAGCAGCCAATGTGCTCTGTTTATTGCTCTACATTGAGAGCCTGACAAATAGTGGGCACTCAACAAATACTTGTTTAACAACAACAAAAAAATTGGGTTGTCGAAAAAGTCATGACGCACTTTCGTGTAGAAAAACGCAGAAAAAATAAACCATAACTTTTCCAACAGCTCAGTATGTAGTATTTATTAAATCAAATGCAGAAATTTCTCAAACACTAGTTACACAACAGCTTTGTAAAATATCAATTATATAGTGAATGAAATGAGATGGGTGGATTGAATTTATTATACTAGTCTCTCTACTTTTAAAAAAGCTTGAAATTTTCACAATAAATTTTTAAAAAAATATTAATAGCACTGCTTAAGCATAGACCAAATTGATTACAAAGAGATGGGAAGAACAAGAGATTTAATTTTTTTAACTTTTAAGAAGATTCTAATGTACAACTAGTATTGAAACCCATTATTCTTTAATTCTCAAGGCAAAAGTAGAAATGAGATATGTATATGAATTATATTGCTCTTTAAAGAAATTTCAATCTGATTAACATCACACAATTATAAGCAATTTTATACCACACAGGACAAAATTAAGAGTTAATGCCTGATGACTAACAGTAAGTATAAATGCTAACATTTTAAACAAGCATTCTAAGTGCTTTATATGTATCCATTCATTCAATTCTAACATTAATATTATGGGATAGATACTACAATTATTTTAAAAATCTAGACCTGAGGTACAGAAATGTTAAGACTTGTTAAGTCAAGCACTAGGAAATGAAATGACTTGCACTAAAAACTCTACTGCCCAAGTTCTTAAATTAATCATTAATCACTGAAAGTGACTGAAAACTTTCAATCAGGGCCAGCCTAGTGGTTAAGGGAGCTAGATTCTACAGGTTACTGACTGTGGTTCCAATCTGGCCCCAGTGGCTTGAAAACCATGCTGGAAGTATGTGTGTGTTTGAGTACAGGTGCCCAAGTCCCAAAGGAATGGAGATATGAAGGAGAAAGGACTGCAGATGGCCACACTCCATTGAGGGGGTAGAGGTGTTTCCTCTCTCTTTATGCAGAGCACATGCATCCTCTAACATTAAAAAAAAAAAAAAAAAAGTCTTCGATCATACCACCCTGATCCATGTAGCTGCACCCATTAAAAGAATATTACCTCTGGGCTAGCAGGTGGCAATAGTGGTTAAGGAGCTGGACTCCCATATGGCTGACTGAGGTTTGGGTCCCAGACCCAGCATCTTGAAACTCACGCCAGGCACACATCCCACCCAAAATCCTGAGAGGAGAATGGAGGAGAAGGGATTGTGGCATGGCCATCACCACAAAGGGTGATTTCTCACTTTCTGCCTGTCTGGTGATCGCACACACCCTATAAAAAAAAATCTCTCTTAAAAAAAAGAAAAAAAACAAAAAACAAAAACAAAGAGGAAAATGAAAGGAAAGAGAACATTCCATCAAGAACACAGTCCTTTGGGACCAGCAGTTAGCGTAATGGCTATACTGCTTGACTCCCATGTAATCGACCATGGTTCAAGTCCTGGACCCAGTGGCCGGGCGCATGTGTGTGCATGCACAAGATCCCAAGAAGATAATGGAGGAGAAGGGATTGGGGCGTGGCTATCCCCCCAGCGAGTGATTTCTCGCTTTCTGTCTCTCTGTCTCTCTCTGTCTGGCTGGTGAGCACACGCGCCCTGCAGCAAAAACCTCTGGGAAAAAAAAAAAAAAGGACACAGGCCTTTTAAAAGGTTTTGAAGAAATGTAGGCTATTATTTTGGATATATAGAAAGAGATGTATGCTACACATGGCAAATTGAATCCATAAGCTTTTTGTAATTTGCTCCTCTGTAGCATTTCTCTTAGATCTAAAATAACATTTTTAAAAATCTAGTATGGCCATGATGGAGGGTCTAAAGCAAGTTCTAGAAATCCTAACATCCCTTTTAACTCTTCTGAAGATTTTCTCTTTAGTAATTCAAGTTTACTTGTTGTGAAAACAGCAAATCTAGTTTCAAATGAATTCACAGATGAACATTTTTTTGAGTAAATGTCTCCAAGAATGTTTTAAAAGGCTTTCTCAATTTAAATGATTAGGTCTCTAATACCTATATTAGTTTTTGGCTCTTATTAGAAAATTTAAGTATCTTTATTCCTAGTATAGTCACAAAACAACTATGAAAACTTTAAAATTGAGTTTCAAAAACCCAGTAGAGGCATACAAAACTAATGGACATAGTTCCCTCTGGTGGAGAGGTACAAATATAGCAAGGCTAAGAAAAAGATTTTGGAGAAATATTCATGTCACATTTTTAAATGACACAGTTCTTAAAGTGAAATATTTAGAGCCACAGCCTATTCAGGACAACTAATCATTATTATACAATACTATTAATAAAATACTGCTAGATTCATCCACCTGGCACTTTTGCTTACACACTTTATGCACAAACTCGTGCTTTAATTAATGTTCATAAATATTTGATTGAGTACCCTTAGGGGTTTCATTATCCCCATTCAGTTGTTAAAAATCTCAGGCTCAGGACCAGCATATGGCATAATAGCTATGTTGCTAAACTAACACATGGTCAACTGCAGTTCAAGTCTCAGGTCTGGCAGCTTAAAACTCACACCAGGTGCATGTGCATGCATGCCCAAAATCCCCAGTGGGGCGATTTCTTGCTTTCTGTCTCTCTGTCTCTCCAGCAAGTGCATGTGCCCTATAGCAAAAATCTCTTTAAAAAAATTCGGGACCAGCAGTTAGCATAATGGCTATATCGCTGGACTCCCACGTAGTCAACCGCGGTTCGAGTTCTGGACCCGGTAGCTTAAACTCACTCCAGGTGTGCGTGCCCAAGATCCCGAGAGGAGAATGGAGGAGAAGGGATGGTGGCGTGGCCATCCCCCCGGGGGGTGATTTCTCGCTTCCTGTCTCTCTGTCTGTCTGGCGAACGCACGCACCCTATAGCAAAAACCTCTCAAAAAAAAAAAAGAAATTCAGGCTCACAGATCTAATAGGTGGCATGGTGGTTACGGCACTTGACTCCTGTATGGCAGGCCATGGATCAAGTCCCAGACCTGGAGGCTTACTTTCTCTCTCTCTCTCCTTCTCTCTCTCTCTCTGCCCCCAGAGCTGGAGGCTTACTTTCTCTCTCTCACACTCTATCCAGTGAGCACGCACGCCTTACGGTAAATTTAAAAATAATAATAATTAATAAATAAAATTAAATAAATTAATTCTCTAAAAATATAAATCTCAGACTCAAAAGGTTGGCTGACTTGCCAAGGTCATGAGACAGAAGTGGATGCACAAGCCAGAACCTGAACCCAGGGTTTGCTGTCTTATCCTCTTTCTAATAACCCAGGCTGCCTAACAATGCTTGGCTCACTTAGGCATTTTGTTTATTTTGTCTTAATTAAAATAAGATAGAGGATTAAAAAAATTGAGCTAAAAAGAAACTTGATAATTCTGAGTGACTAAACATACTGCTTCTTACATATGAATCTTAATATATTAACTGTTTTCAAATAAGTACATTACTATCAAATAGGACTTCAAAGCATATTGTAATAGATATATTGTGGTAGTATTCGACCTGTATTTCACCTAAAAATACTGTTTTCTAATTCTGATGTAAAAGAGATGTAACTTTTACAATATTTTTTTACTTGAGTAAATTTTCACTTTCATAAGTCTAGAAAAAATCAAATAATTGCCAGTAGTAGTATCATAAAAACACTTAAACAGATATAATAGCAGCTTCTTCAACACAGAGACGTAACATTGAGCTTTATTTTAAAAACAAAAGAGTGCTTCACTTCCTCAAGGTACATACTTTTAATAAAAGGACTAAGAATGTTAACTCACTACTACTTTGTCAGTAGAGAAATAGTGAAAATATAAAGAAACCTTCAAAAAGAAATTGGGATCAGCAGAATAACATCTGAAAACTACAAAAGAACTTAAAAAATAATTTAACACACGAACACTGTGAAAACCTACCTCAAGCTGACCTCCCCATGCAGCTGTGTTTACAATATCATTGCAGTACTTTCCAAACTCCTCTGTGGACAAGAGATCAGAATATAGTACTTAGTAATTTTCATAAATCACATTACCATATCCTTTTTATGGTTTTCACAGTTGCTGATGGAAATGCCCAAGTTATGAACATCTTACTTCTCTATCAATAACCCATATAATTTAATCTCCTTCCCTGATCCAAACCTAATTCACCCTACCTTCTACCAACTTTCCATACAAAAGCAAGGCAATCCATTTCTGTTTCATCACCCTAGCCCCAGCCTGGGGCCCAGGGACCTCACCTATATAATAAGCATATATCTCTCTATACCAAGAAGTTACTCCTAAAATTACTGTTACCATGTTCACTATTTTGTGAAGACTCTAAGAAATGTGAGAAGAGAATCTAGGTTAAAAGTATAAATGAGCTAAAACTCTTTGATCGGAGGTAGTATAAAATAGTACCTTCACTTGTTATTTTGAAAACATATTATTTGCATCACTATCAGTTCTAGCCAAGGAAAGGACTTTTCAGATCAGCACTACGAGGCGATCTCCTCATTAAGTTTATAATGGACATATCTTGTGCACATTACCTACTTATACATCATATTAAAGAGAGCAACAGGGACCAGTGGGTGGTGTGGTGGTTAAGGCGCTGGACACTCCCACGTGGCCAACTGTGGTTCCAGTCCCGGACCTGGTGGCTTGCTTTCTCACTTTCCCTCTCTCTCTCTGGTCAAATTAAAATAAATAAATGAATAAATAAAATTAAATAAAGAATCTTTTTCTTTAAAAAAAATAAAAAAGAGAGAGCAACAAACATCCTTCCACTTCAGAGACACATGAAAGCCTTATGGGTATCTAGAAAAAACATGTCTCATCCACTTTGATGCAGTGGTAAAAGGAACCTCTCCAAGGCTGACCCACACGGAAAGGTTCCTGATGCATTCCAGAGAACTCCCAGAGTATTCAGGGAATACATGTATCCATGATCCGGGTTAGTTGAAGCTGGAGGGTGGATCACAGTGTCATGGCTCTGTTCAGGCTGCTGTCTTTCTCACTCATGGAAAAAATAAATGAATAAACTTTAAAAAAAAAAAAAAACCTCTACTGACCAGAACAGTCCCTAGAATAGTGCCTAGCAAATAGCAGCCTTCAATAAATATTGGTTGAATAAACACATTTAAGTGTCTTGTGTTTTCTTTTGACTCAGCATAGTAAACTACCACCTCCTCTCAAATGTCCTACAACTCTCAGATCCGGAAAATGTCAATGATTCAATACTTATTCTGGAGAGAAATTACAGAAAAGCTGCCTTTATCATGTTAATTCTCCATATACCGAGATAAGTGAAGGAAAAATGTCCCATATGCCATGGCAGATTCTGGTTATTTAGCAAACAATACTGACCTAGAACAGCAAGAGATATGTTAATATTTTTACCAAGACATCTATGGGAAAGTAGTTGGCTAAAAAATTTGATATAGAGATAGTCATATTTGAGATCCATCAACAGATTATCTCTAGCCACACACACTAAACAAGTCCTAACTGATTATCACTGCTCACTGTAATTTGTTCCGTTTCTTGCTTTTCCTTCCCTCCATGAAGAGCAGACTGCATAAAGGAAAGCCAACTTTTACCTTCACTTCTACAACTTATCCTTGGCTCTGTTAGGGTGCCTTCTTTTTCACTCATGGGAAAAAAAAAAGAAAAAAATTTTAAAAAAAAAAAAAACCTCTACTGACCAGAACAGTCCCTAGAATAGTGCCTAGCAAATAGCAGCCTTCAATAAATATTGGTTGAATAAACACATTTAAGTGTCTTGTGTTTTCTTTTGACTCAGCATAGTAAACTACCACCTCCTCTCAAATGTCCTACAACTCTCAGATCCGGAAAATGTCAATGATTCAATACTTATTCTGGAGAGAAATTACAGAAAAGCTGCCTTTATCATGTTAATTCTCCATATACCGAGATAAGTGAAGGAAAAATGTCCCATATGCCATGGCAGATTCTGGTTATTTAGCAAACAATACTGACCTAGAACAGCAAGAGATATGTTAATATTTTTACCAAGACATCTATGGGAAAGTAGTTGGCTAAAAAATTTGATATAGAGATAGTCATATTTGAGATCCATCAACAGATTATCTCTAGCCACACACACTAAACAAGTCCTAACTGATTATCACTGCTCACTGTAATTTGTTCCGTTTCTTGCTTTTCCTTCCCTCCATGAAGAGCAGACTGCATAAAGGAAAGCCAACTTTTACCTTCACTTCTACAACTTATCCTAGTCTATGATTCCCTCCTGGTGGACACTGCCAAACCTGTCATCTTATCTCAAGGACTAACTTTCTTCATTCCATTTTTACTCCTATGAAAACTTTTCAGGGTTTATTTGCTCTATCATTTGCCAGTCGCACAAATTTTTTTTTACCTCCCCATAAATACTTTACTTTATCAAAAGTATTGCAGAAAAGAAAGCAGGTTATTAGTTTTGTAAAACTTTACCTGAATACTAACCTCCTGATTATGGTTTATTGAAAATAAAATGAACTCTCCCAAAGTATAGGATAAAGGAGATTCATTTTTCTAATAATTCTCTGCTTATTGTCTTCAGGGGCTATATATATTTCCAGAGATGGGTCAAAGTTTAGCTCCCTCTATGCTTAACTTTGTCAAATATTTTTGACAAATATTTGACAAATATTTGAACTCAACACACTTTTTTTCAATAATAATGATTAATCCTATTCTATTTTTCTGTTACACAAAATGATAAATGCTTACATTTTAACTACAAAATGGTTAAGCACCTAAGAGATCTTATAAAGCAAAATCTAAAAGTATCCATTAAAAATACATAATTCTGCCTGAAGTTTGTGATTTTTTTTCCCCCATAAGAACTATACGGGTTCCTCTTATGCTCAGGAAGCACTTTAAAAGTAACCACAACCAGAACAGGAGTGGAAGGATTGGATGGGAAGAGGGGGAGGAGGTGAAGGAGGAGGGGGTGAGGGGTATAGCGTGATGCGGTTACAGTGCTGAACTTCCACATAGCCAACCAAGAACTGTACTCGGCAGCTTGAAAATCAAGCCAGGTATGTGTGCGTACATGCCCCAAACCCCAGGAAGGTGGAGGAGCAGAGACTGTGGTATGGCCATCTCTCCTAGGAGGTCATTTCTCACTTTCCTTCTCTCTATCTTTGCCTCTCTCTCTCTGGCAAGTGCATGTGCCCCAGGAAAAACTAAAAAAAGTAACTAAAAAATAACCATAACCACCACAACAAAACATAGTAAAGAAAAAGAAATTACCTGGAGTATACATATCTCCTGTATTAGAGTTTGTTAAAAACGGTAGAAAGTCTTCCACATGGCTTTGCATATATT